CATGCTGATGCAGCTACCCACCTGAACTACTTCCATTTATGTTGTGCACTTCATTTGTATTTAAAAAATACCTTGATGTTTTGTGTTTCGTTCTAATTACATTTTCCTCATTCATTTGCTTACATTTGGGAAAGTCCATTTCAGGTTCATCATTTTTATTTGAATCCTTTGCATGGTAAAGGAATAATTTGGAAAGCTAAACTTATATTTTCTATATCATATCGCCTTGTCACCCATGGAGAGCAATCAACAGATGTTGAAAAGGTGGAAATACAGAAGGCTCTCCCATGGGTAATGATTTCTGTAATGTGGCTGAAACCCCTTATTCTGCAGGGTTTTGAGTTGTATAATATATAATAAGTATCATTAAAACGCTTTAATGTAAACTTCAGCTCTTCAGTGAAACACTGGGATAGAAGTTCTGCTTTTTAAGTGTAACACTGTAATTGCATAGGGTTACATAATAATTTGGTCTAGATTGACCATATATTTTTAAAACACTTCCTCATTCCAAGTTTGATTTTAAAGATCAAAATATATTAAATATAATGTGGCTATATAGTACAATAACACAAGCCTGTTGGTTTTCCAGCCCTTCAGACCATTATTAATGAAGTGGAAATAAATCCTCCTTTTGAGTCGCCGAGAATTAAGTGCACAGGAGCACTGGCAATTGACGTTAAATAATTTACCGTCGTGTCCTCTTACAGGAGTTAGTAACTTGGCCTTCCGCCACTTGATTGAATTCACCTACACTGCGAAACTTGCGGTGAATGGACATGAAGAGGTCAATGATGTGTGGAAAGCAGCTGAATACCTTCAAATGCAAGAAGCAATCAAAGCTCTTAACAGCAGGTATGAGAAACTATACTCTCCGAATTCCAAACGTTGGTGGCTTCGAAGCTAGGAGCTAAAGGGTTTTGTTCTTGAAAATTTTATTCCACTGAGGTCTTTAAAAAATTCAGATCACAGACATAACTAAATCCTATGTACTGCAAGAGTAATACTGCTTAAATAAGTATCTGGGGCAGGACCCAGACTTGATCACATTTCAAATAAACACAATTCGTGCAAAGATGTTTTTTTGTATTCTTCTTTTATTGTTTGTGGCTTTTTTCTTTCCAGCAACTCAACACCTTCTGTTGACCTATCCTTGAAACAATACTGGAAATGTAAAATTGAAACTGTCCTGAATCTAGTTATTAGAACAGTGTGAAATAGCATAGTGGATTTCAGCCACTTTTCCGTGATCCATATGAAAATATGTCAGTAACTATCAGTATAAAATATGGTACTATATTAGTGACCTGCTTACTCATAATGTGCTGTGGCAGACAAGGTCATTAAAAAAGCTGTACTGGATACCATTCTGAATTGAAAGTAAATGCATCTCAAAGCTATGAGGATCATTTGGTCAGATTTAACAACTCTATACATGGAGACGATTGAATGAGGCACAGCTAGACACTTCAGACAGGTGAGAGAAAAGGTGGAAATTGTAAAAGAAGGTGTCAGAGGCACTTATTAATCAGCAGTTAGAAAAAGTCCCCTGTATTCTTTCATAGTGCCATCTGCATGTTAAAGTAAGGAAGCCAGAATTATTTTTTTTTCTCAGTAGTAAGTTAAGTTTTGAATTCAAAAGCCAGATGGCTAAAATATCTGCCAGACGGTGTGTTAGCTAATGCAAAGTAGTTTATTTTTACTTTTCTCCATGGAGATCTCAGAATGTTTTTGTATTATATCTGTGGTTACAATTTGTAATCGATCTCTGTGTATTACATACTGGTTTTGGACTAAACAGTTTTTTTAATAGTTTTTGGCAGTATGTTTCTAATGCACTGTTGGTATTCATACTCCACTTTGTCCTGACATATCATGGAATGAGATTTTTTAAATATTTAAGAAAATAGACGTTCCATGGTTTCACATTTTTTCTGGAGCTCAGCATATTTAGCATTTCTGACCAGTCTCTGATTATTATTGGTAATTGGTAATTATAAGATGTTGTATCACTAGAGCAACCATTTTGTTTTTAAAATAACAGACAAATCACCGTAGCCAACTGTGCTTTACTGTATGTTTTCCTGAAGTAAACCATCTAATTAAAATTACTTCAGAATAATTCACACATGTGGGTTGCAGAGAATGTAATCAATCTGGAATGTTTATGAAAACATCTTCTTTCAAGGTTTTCAACGTAGGATCTTATTTTGGGGACTTTTCTCACAGTGTGAGCATTAATGCAACCCAGTTCTGCATTCTGCAACTGCAGCATTCTTTTTTTCTAGATTTTATGAGCTCTGACTACAGACAGCAACTTGTTTCAATGAGTTAAAATTCAGAGTGGGAAGAACAAGTGAAGAATGACTGGGTATCTAAAAATAATATGATTTCATTACATATAAGTCAACGTAAACCTCGATGGTTTGATCGTTGTCAGTGAGCTCATAGATATATACTTGATGGGTGAGCCTCTGCCTCTGGAGAAAGCTCAGCTGGTCACTAAGACTGTGAATATTGAAGGATTTTCCTCTCCTGAACTTCAAGATGTTTGAGAAGCTGATTTCCGTAGAGGGCATGGGTTGTAATGTGACTATCAATCCTGCAGTGATGATGAAAGGTGTGAAACAATTTCAAAATGCCCACTGTCTAGGAAACAATACATAAGGAGAATGAACAGCTCACTTAAGCATTAATAATAATATTATATACTTACATATACAATAAATGTTATGAACTCTAGTAAAACTTATGATCTCTATGATGAATCATCACTCATCAATTCATAACTTTTCAGCAGTTGCCCAAAATTTGATTCTATATTCGGGAAACTCAAGTCCTGTTGGCTGCTCAGATTGACAAGGACATAGGGAGAAAATAAGAGGAAAGTTCGGAAGAAACATACCAGAAAAGACTCTCCGGACTTTCTAATATTTCACATACTGTACCCGTCACATTCAATACCTGAAAGCTAAAAACAATTCAATTTAAAGCATATTCACAAAATAAGGATTTAATTGGGAATTTTTGATGTTTTAGTCAGAACTGGCTGAAATGCTCCCTTGAACAGAATATAGTGTGGTAGGTGATAGATTATTCTGTTTTCCATATTTTTTTCCATGACTCAGATAGAGTCCAAATGACAAGACAACCGCTATAAATTATGGCTTCAGTAATTGGAAGAAAGTATAACAGAAGGATGCTAGATTGTGTTGACTGCAACCCAGAGGGATGTAGCTCAGTAGAAGTGTTATAAGCAAAAGAAGATAAAGGAAGATTGGTCGGGTTCCTTGTGTGTAAATAAAGCACACAAATTAGTGCAAGAAAAATGTACTATGTTAAAAAGTGGAACAGAGGTTCTCCTTTTTACTTTTAAGACTGATTAAAGTGAAAACAGTATAAGTCATGGGAACCTTCTACCACATTTTCAAAAGCTGTTTTGCTAAAGATGAAGAAAACTTTAAAACAAATTGGAATTTTGACCATAAAAGTGCTACCTCTCCATACAATATGAACTTTTTAATGTTATAGCCTAAGTCTTGAGAATGCAAATTAGAAAATGCAAATTCAGCACATCAGAGTTTTTTACCCTTGTAGTGTCCTACATTATTTGTGCAAAGATTATGTCATAAAAAAGCAGGATAGAATAATTTGTGGAATAGACCTTGAACAGAAAATAATTTTTCCAAGAGGTAATGAGAGGACATATATATTATATAGATCAGTTTGTGTATAATTAAGTACAATGGGTCGCTGTAGACAAGCAAGTATATATGGGTACTGAAATGTTTATTTGATAAATGCATAGTTAGCAGGGGATTACTGTACTAAAAGCAAATCTGTCTGCCACCTCTTAGTCTCAAAGCAGTTAAGGTGATGATGAAGAGATATTTTTGTGATACTCTTTTTCAGTCCCTCAGTTAATTCTCAGGCGGAAGTACCAGTGACCGGACTTTTTTACAAAATCCCAGACTAATTTATAACTTTGTGTATATGAATTACAATCCAAATGAGCATAATTGCATTCTGCTGAGCATGATATTGAGGGAACACATAAAGCACAGTGGACAGCAGCACTCAGAATTACATTTATCAGCATGACGGGATTCCTTGTAATCCTTGAATGTTTAGGATTAACCTTAGTTAGCATTCAGCAATCTGAACCAATAAGATATCTCGGGATTCACGGTGTTCTCATTGTAAATTGTCTTTATAAATAACAGCACATTTTGCAGCTGTCAATTTAAAGATTTCAAAGACATCGGTGTGCTTACCAAGATTTTTTTTTTTAATGACTGTTATCTGTACTTCCAAGGACAAACAGCAGCCCTCCATACACCGAGGTGCAGGAGTCAGCGAGTAGGAATAAGGCCAAAAAGAGGAAGATAGCAGAGACTTCGAATGTCATCACAGAGACTCTGCCCTCCGTGGAGACCGAGCCAGTGGAAATCGAAGTGGAGTTTGCTGGCAGCACCATCGAACTGGAGGAAGGGGGCATAGAGGAAGTGGTGGACATGGGAAAAGGTGTCAAGGGTTCCCAGGCCTCCTCTGATGATTCTGCACTAGCCCTGCTGGCTGACATTACCAGCAAATACCAGCAAGGAGAGCAGACGCTCCATATAGTGAAAAAAGACGTCGAAGTCGTCGCACAAGAAGATGCACCTACCCCTAAATCGCTGGAGAACATAGAAGTGGTGGAAGTGCAGATCTCCCACCTCAACAACCTCTTCCGGTGCGACAAGTGCGACCGCTCCTTCAAGCTCTTCTACCACCTGAAGCAGCACATGAAGGTCCACTCGGACAAGCCTTTCGTGTGCCCGCACTGCAACAAGACCTACACCCGCGAAAGCGCCCTGAAGCAGCACCTCAACTGCAACCACTTCGAGGCCGAACAGTCCCGCCGCCAGCGGCCCCAGAAGAAGATGCACGTCTGCGAGTACTGCGAGAAGCAGTTCGACCACTTCGGCCATTTCAAGGAACATCTGAGGAAACACACAGGTGAGACCGGCTTCTCTTGCTGCTGGAGATGAGAGGAGTTCGCTGAAGAAAGTATAATTCAAGTCGCCTGGCTTTCAACAGTAGCAGTACATGCTTGAGCTTCAGTGCAAATGAACGTTTTCAGGGGGGCTTCGGAATGTTTTTCATAGTTTTTGCAGAGCAGAAAAACAAAGATTTTAAAATTTGGGTTTCGTTCACTGATGAAGTCTGAGCTGATAATTGAATTTGAACACCAGATTAAATCATTTTAAGATTTATACTTTTGTTTGATGCAGTTATCTGAAGTCTCTGGCAAAGATAAAACCCTGTTAATGTTCTAGGTGTTTATATCAGGAGAATATGGAGTGTTCTAATTAGTTTCCTTCAAGTTGATTAATAGACGTGCTGCTGAAATTTGGAAGAGGATTTGTAGTTTGGAATTGTGTCCGGCATAGTTGTCACTTAATGTGATAAGACTGCCGCATTTCATGGGCATGCATCAAAGAATTTGTCTTCTTGATGGGCAAATGACAAAATGTTTCATGTTGTTCTTTTCTAGGTTGAACAGAGTACACCACTGACAATTATGCCATAACTGTGTTTTCTAGGTGAAAAACCATTTGAATGTCCAGACTGCCATGAACGTTTTGCCAGGAATAGTACATTAAAGTGCCATATGGCTGCCTGTCAAAATGGTGTTGGTGCAAAAAAAGGACGAAAGAAGCTCTACGAATGCCAGGTACTTATTGTCAAAAACATATTTTTTTAAAACATTTAAGTCTGCAGCCACCAAACACTTGTACACTTGCCCATAGCTGGATGGATGGTGCTAAGAGTTTTGGATACATGACACTGCATTCACTACATTACATTTTAAATTCAATTGGTTTCTTTTCAGTGTTCATATGATGTATGATAAAGTAAATAAAATGGAGCTATATTGGGAAGCGATAAGGTTGCCAATATGCCAGAAAAGGACTAAAATAAGTTGACATCTGAATAGGTTTGCTTCCTTTTAGTGTTTATTTCATTCTTCCTGATTACTTTCATTTTTGCTTCTCACTAGAAAACTATTAGCGTGTCACTGCTATGGATGTGAAACATCAGATTGTGTTGGTACCACTGTCTCTCCTTGTATGAGAGCAATACGTCTTTCGTGGATCGGCAGGCCACAGTAATTGGTGGCACTGTGGAGGATAAGATTATCTCTCTGTGATATAATGGAAACTCCAGTCTGGTATAGTTTCTGTTTCTTTTGTTTCACATTGGTTTTCCCTTTTGAATGAAACAAATATAAAAAGTTAGTAATTTATTATGATATTTTGTGCACACATATACTGTATATATTTCTAAAAAGTAGGCAAGACTTCATATAAAGTACTTCAATGTAAAAATATGGAAACTATAATAATATGCATTTAAAAACTGCAATTTACATGTATATATTTTAAGCACTTAATTGCTACAGGGCACATTACACAAAGACAAGGTACATAAAATAAACTGAAATAAAGATCAGAATATAGTATTGCTTACAGAATTGTTTTAAAACTTAATCAATAATAGTTAAATCGGCTGATAGAGACTTAAATAAAATACACATATTTTGGGAAAAAATGTTTTTAAAATGTATTTGAGAACACAAGGTTATTGGCTTTGTTTTGAAATACTTGTATCATTTCAAATATTTAACAGTTTAATAAACAGCTGATGGCCCTGCTGTGAATTAAACTGTCACAGTAAAATCATTGGAAAATCTCATTCTCCTACTCGGTTAAACACATTTCTGTTGCACAAATTTGTTGGAAGTGGTATTATAAACTGCAGAATATTGACAAGAAAATGTAGCTGTCGGTGGGAAGTATTTTTCCCCAGTGCCCTTATATTAATTGCTAACTGCCGTTTTGAGTTTATTGTAATGGAGGTTTTGAAAAATGGCAAAGTAAATGTTTAATGCAATATTATTCTTCCATAGAACTGTACTGCAGCTTTTCATAGGCTTTTGTAGAGCATATTTCCTGCAATGATTCCATTGTAAATCTTAGTCGGAGTAAATCTTGGTCTAACATGAAATCTAGGCAAGTAAACACAGAACAGAAGGTTCTAGTTTGCCTCTTCTCCCAAGTTCATCCCCGTAAGGGAATCGCATTGAAATACATTTCTGTTAGCAGCAGACAGCCAAGAAAACGTCCAACGTCATCCATCAACAGTAACGGTCTGGTCATCTCCTTCCAGCCTTACTCTCATGTCTCCTCTCTTCCAGGTGTGCAGCAGTGTGTTCAACAGCTGGGAGCAGTTCAAGGACCACCTGGTGATCCACACCGGGGAGAAGCCCAACCACTGCACGCTGTGTGACGTCTGGTTCACCCAGCCGAACGACATGCGCGTCCACCTGCGTGACTTCCACGCCATTCACGAGAAGGTGGTGACGGAGGTGGTGATCGCCGAGCCGGGGGCCTCCGAGGCCCTGCTGGAGGAGGTGCAGGTGGAGCCGGAGCAGATGGAGGCCGGCCAAGTCGTGGAGGCAGTGCAGGTGGAGACCGTCGAGGGCGAGCAGGGGAAGGTCGAAGCGGGGGTCGACCTCCGGCACGGCGAAGAGGCTGAGGAAGTGACTGTAGCCCCCGAGGAGCCGCGGGGAAGCGAGCCAGACCCGGGACAGCAGCTGCAGTTCAAAGTGGAACAGATCTCTGGCAGTGCTGTACAGCACTACCTGGAACAGACTGTGCAGGACACAGAGGTCCCTGAGGAGCAGGAGCAGGTGGAAATACACGTAGAAGAGACAGAGATTAGTGAAGTGCAAGCAGTAGAAGTATAAGAAAAGAACCATGTTAGCCCTTGGTATTTCTTTTTCGGGAAGGCAATAACAATCCACTGACTCCTTTCACCACAGTGAATATCGATAAACCATGAATTGCCTACTGAGAAAACTTGTTGGTTTAATAATTGACAGTTTCAAATATAAATATAAATAATATTTAGGATATTTATTTTCAGACAGGATTTACTTGCTACTTAATGTACATCTTTGGAGGAGAAATTATCTTTGAATGTGTTTTTAAGTTTAATAGCTTATCGACCACACCCCTTCACTTTTCCATCGTTTCCCACTGAATGAAGAAATGGTGTCATCTGCCTTTTTTAGGTCTTGGTACAGAGCAGAGAAGTGATTGCGCTTTGCCAGTAAGATGTTTGAAGGAATTTGAGGTATCCTCCCAATGGGCCTCCCCGAAGAAACCATCAATTTTAATCTTACCGTGAAATTCTCTGTGAACTCTGAAAGTCTGATGTTGGTAATGTATGACAGATGAAGTTAATAAATGCTTTCTATGAAAAATATGTATATGTCAGCTACATGGTATGTTTTTTTTACTCATTTGTAAAGCTGTCTGTTGCAATTAAAAACATTTTTCTTTGTTTTTAAACTTGTTGTTTGGTCAGATCTTTAAGACACAAGATCACAACAATCACTTAAAACAAGGCCACAAAATCAACAGAAACTGTTTATCCACTGCTTATCCACAAAAAGGCCTTTCTTTTAGTTTTTCTATTGTTTTGGTATGATAGGTCACAGCTGCATGCTTTAATATTATATATGACTTTTTCATTCTTTTCTAGAAGTGCAATTAAAGTATAATCAAGAAATGTTATTGATCTATTGAAAATGGTAAAACACCTGTTTTAGGAGTAGGAGCTATAAAATATGGTGTAAAAAGAGCAAAGCACGTAGAAACACTGTGACCTAGTTTACATTATTGTTTATTATTTGCTAGTCTGATTCCCTTGTCCAGGGTGACTTACAGTGCAGAATTTTAACATTAATTTCACTGGGGACAACAACATCCAAAAATTTAATTAGAGGATGTTTGAGATCCTAGGTGGGATAAGTCTGGCTTAACCTAGTTGGTTAGTACATAACTATCCCCCATTCAGAGAGGAAACCGAGAAGATGTGGGTAGACGAGGGTTGCTTGAAATAAATGCAAAGAACTTGTGCTTGATACATGTGTATATAGCCAATTTCCTCAAACAGCTAGTGTGAGATTGACTTGTCGTTGTTATCCCCCCTGAACTTCAGTTAATAACTTTAAATGTAAGTTTCTCAACAAAGCATTTCTTAAACGCCAAAGCCATATTTATTGTCCTAAAACATACAGTGGTGTGAAAAAGTGTTTGCCCCTTCCTGATTTCTTATTTTTTTGCATGATTGTCACACTGAAATGTTTCAGATCATCAAACAAATTGAAATATTAGACAAAGATAACACAAGTAAACACAAAATGCAGTTTTTAAATGAAGGTTTTTATTATTAAGGGGAAAAAAATCCGAACCTACATGGCCCTGTGTAGTTGGGCCACCCTTAGCAGCAACAACTGCAATCAAGCGTTTGCGATAACGGGCAATGAGTCATTTACAGCGCTGTGGAGGAATTTTGGCCCACTCATCTTTGCAGAATTGTTGTAATTCAACCACATTGGAGGGTGTTCGAGCCTTAACCGCTTTTTTAAGGTCATGCCACAACATCTCAATCGGATTCAGGTCAGGACTTTGACTAGGCC